GTAGAAACCCTCTTTTACAAGCAATGATGAAAGTTTTGGTGGTTAGTTTCCTTGGGAAGACCCGCTCAGTACACAATCAGAGCTCGGAGCCTTTGTTTCTTTGAAGTTAAACAGCAACATCTTCCAGCAATCGCATGGATTACCCAGATCAGAACCCTGAGATCACTGCCTGAGATCCTTGTGATGATCAAGGACACACTAACACGGTACCATGCCACGCCACAATAAATATTCTAAACAGAAAACCGTTCCAACAGGCACAGTTGTGACTGTCTTTAACCACAGCACTCGGGAGGTGAAGGCAGGAGAGTCAGGAGTTCAAGACCAGTCATGCCTACATAGCACCTTCTTGGCCAGTCTGGACTATATGAGACCCTGTCTCCAGAAAACCAAAACCAAAAATAACAGAAAAAAAGTTTCACCGGCCAGTGTGGGCCAAAGACGAAGATCTGGCTTCGTGCTATGTCAACTCGGTTCCAAGCCAGTGCCAAGCTCAGCTGATCTGGAGCCGACGCGTTGGTTCCTGGGAAAGGAAGGAGTGAGAGTGTTCCTCACGTGTGTCTGGACTATCTGAGTTGGGCAGGTTCTGAGAAGGGAACTTGGGCTTCCCCATGGGAACTAGTTTGGAACTAAGTACCTATTACTTCCTTCTTTCCTGCTCCCAAATGACCACCAAAGCTAAGAATTCTGCATTTTTAAAAAAGGTTTCCTGAGAAGAAGCCAGAGGCAACCTCCTCTCAAGCCAACTGGGCATGGTTTCCTGGAAGGGATGGAGGAGGAGCCACCTAATTCATTCTTTTCTCATCTAAAAAGGAGAGAAAGCTGAAACTGTCTGCCATCTGCCAGGTTGGGCTAAGGACCACAAGCCTTGGAGCAGCACAGAGCCATCCAGTACAGCATCAAGCCTGTGGTAAGCCTCCTCTTGTCCGATAGCCCCAGACTAGCTGAGAGGCAGGGAGGAAATCCTCTTCCCACAGGGAGACCCCACCATATCATAAGCTCCTCATCACAGCCTGTCGTTAGAGGTGGGGTGCATCGTTCAGGAACCAGACCCACTGAGACAGCTATGGATAGAAACAGCTCTGACAAGTCGGTAACATCATGGGTCCCACAGAAAGTCCTCTCAGAGTCTGGTCATTCCAGCATTTCATGCTGATGTCACCCCCCAGACAACCTGGCACTCTCAGGGTTCTTAATAAGAGGGAAAGTTAAGGCATGCTCGCTGTTGGCAAAGCCCTTGCTGGGCAGCTCTGAAAAGACAAAAATCAGAATTGCCACTTCCCAGGAGCTCACCTTTCAGCAGGGCAGTTAAAATGGCCATCTCCACATCTTGCTGACCCTCAGAACCCATCCGAAATACAGTGACCTGGAAACAGGTGAATGGGGGAAAACACAGAATCAAGGCAACAGTGAAAACAAGAGGCAGAATTGAGCTGCTTAAAAAACAAAAAACAAAACATAACAATAACAACAAAAAACTTAACACAAAGACTGGTGCAGTGAACCAGAAAGCTGGTTAGACATTCACAAGAGTTTTCAGTCTCCAGGAGGTCCCATGTTGTTCTTACTGACAAAATCCTTGCCTGAATTTGGAGTTTATTGTTTATCCCACCTGGGGAAGAGGTTGTTTACTTGGGAACTTTACAGCCACCTGAGCTGGAACACACATCTAATCAGAAGGAATATGTTAGCAGAGAATTTACAGACCTCGAACTTTGAATCCGTCATCGTAAGCGAATGAGGAATGCGAATGCCTTTCAAATACAGTTGAAGGGAGGACTGAGAAATGACCCCTGCATTTGCAAAGGGCCGTAGATTTGACTTTGTAACCACATCTAAAGGGCTGTCGCATGTCTCTCTTCCCAGGGACTTTAAGTCTGATTTATGTTTTGCATCTCTTGAGTTGAGAGACATGGTGTGACGTCACCTCATGTTTGCTAAGGTCTGGCAACACCTGGACCTTCTGTGGACTTTGTGCACCCGGGCAGCTAGTTTGGAATGCATTTCTAAGTTGCCTTCTGGGAAGGTCAACTGACACATGCAGAAGTCCACCTAGCATGGATGGTGGAGCTGGACAAGGAAACAGCTTTCTCCATGGAATGTGTTTGGAAATAAGTTCAAGACACTCACGAGTTCTTTCTTCTTCATGCACTCCATGATAATTGCAAACAGCTGATGCGATTGTGACTTGCTGTAATTAAATGTTTTCTGAATGGTGACTAGGAGCTGGTCCCGCAGGGACTCATTTATGATCCTGTTCAAAGGGGTAAAGGGAGAGAAGGAAGCAAGGGAATTAGGGCAACTCCTGGGTAAACCAGACAGCTTTGCCCACCCAAGTGTTTTTCATTTGTGGCTGCTAATGGCACAGATTTACGTACAGGAGACAAAAAGTCACCCTGGCCTAAAAGCAGCATTAAAATTGGCCTCAGTTTAGCTCTTTTCAAGACTTTTAAGGGAAAATGAAGTTGTCAGAGAGAGGATTCAGAGAGGATTCGGTCAGGAACAGGAGCTCCCTTATGCTGACCTTGGAAACTAGAGAGGAGATCAAGAAAACTCCTTATGAGTTGGATACTTCTGGGATGTCTGACAGGATCAAGTCAGATATTTTCCTCAGCCTAATAGGAGGTCATAAAGTACCCACCCTCATCCCATGCCAATCCTACCCTCCTTCTTCACAGTATTTGTGTGCGAAGGACAAAATGTCAGAGGCACGTCCACTGCCATCGCAAACCACCACAGGGACGGGAGGGTCTTCTCTGAGGTATTCCAGGACGATAGATACCACATTAGGACCACCTTCCACCACGAGGCCCACGACGGGCACACCCTGGCCCAGCCCTGCAACACAGCCACACTTGCTCTTCAAGCCAGCATGACATCGCCAACTTGCTGAGACAGCAAAAGGTACAAGCTTCCTGCCCCAGGCCTTTCCCTGTGGCGTCAGTGTTGACCAACAGGAGGACTAAGTCAGGGGAATGGTGACTGTGTTCATTCTTGCATTCAAATGTCATGCCATAGCCTCACCGTAAACTCCACACCCTCAAAACTCTTGAGCTCCCCAACACTCCCATGTGACTCAACTCCTATAAAGAACCAGACACATGGACACATGTGAGTGAGCTTTAAGAGCCATTGCTCAGAATGCTCCTTTTCTGCCTTGCCTGGGTGTGACATGCCCATGCTGGAGGCTGTCTTCTAAGAATTATTCAGTGTAAGGAGGGCTGGATGAGCCAGAGGGGAGCTAGCTCAATGCAGGGTATCTCCCATATGGGCATTCCAATGCCAGGCTGATGGTCACAGCACCATCTCACAGATGAACAAGTGTAAAATAACAGTGCCTCACTTAACCCATGAGGAGGAATGGATCTGAAATATAAGAACACATTTGCCTTTGGGACGCTGAAGAGGCACATTCGTGTAGCAGCGTGCTCTTCTTACTGCCTCCAGAGCCTGGTATAAGGCAGGACAGGTTAAGCATGCCCAAGCTAAATAGCTGAAATCTGAAACCAAGAGCATTGCAGGTATCATTTTTTTTTTATTCGAGATGATCAGTGGTAAAGGTTATGCAAATATGACAAAGTTTCATCAACTCTGAAGTCTGAAACACTTCTGGCCCTAGTATATCATCTTAGTGGCAAAAACATGGCTCACTATTAGCCCATTTCTAATGAGTGATTTCCAGGGTGTGCCTCTGCTTTAAAATAAATAGATAAGCCAGGCAGTGGTAGCTCGTGTCTTTTAGTCCTGGCACCCGGGAGGCAGAGGCAGGCAGATCTCTGTGAGTTCGAGGCCAGCCTGGTCTACAGAGCAAGTTGCAGGACAGAGAAACTCTGTCTGAAAAAAAAAATAACAAAAAAAGTAAATAACTGGGCATCTTCAAAAACCCAGTAAGAATAGGTCCAGTAGGGTGGGCTCTAGGAAGCAGGAAATGATAGGCGAATTCTGGGAGGCTGAGATCATACTTCAAGGACAGTGGAAGAGGACTCTTCATGGCAAATTTGCCTACCTCAAAATGTCAGCCCTGCCTGGCCAGTACTTATTACATACTTGCCCCCGGGCATCTATTGGGAATTAGTTCCAGACTGTCATGCTACCCCCTGGACACCAAACTCAAGACACTCAAGTCTCTTATGTAAAATGATATGTTATCTGCATCCTCATTCTCCTGTGTGCTTCAAAGCGCCTCTAGGCACTTACAATACCTGACATGACATCATGGCATGGAAGTAGTTATCATACTGTGTTATTTAGGAATAATGACCAGGAAAAAGACTGTACACATTAATTAAAGACTGAATTTCCTCTCCTGAATGTTTTCCATCTGTGGCCATGAAGTTCTGTGCTTTAAAGTTTTTTATTTTTTATTTTTATTGTTTGGTTTTTCCAGACAAGGTTTCTCTGTGTAGCTTTGTAAACCAGGCAGGCCTCAAACTCACAGAGATCCTACTGCCTCTGCCTCTGCCTCCCGAATGCTGGGATTAAAGATGTGTGCCACCACCACCAGACTGAAGTTCTGGGCTTTAGACCCTGTTAGCATGCAGGGTCACTGTTTGCTGATCAGGTTTTGCTAGGTTTCTAGAATTGTGATCAGCATTACAAGTGGCAAGTAGGGAAAATGTCCTTGCCCTCATGGTTCCCAAGAGATCCACCAGATAAATTCTGCCAGCCCAGGCTATAAGGAGCCTGGAGAATGTCAGGGAGTGAATTCAGAGCATCTGGTTTCCTCCCACTATGCTTTCTCCAGGGGATACTTAAGTATTTAGAACAACTTTGTTATCTCCTGATGAACTAATTACAGTTAAGTTTGTTTTAGCAAGCAGGCATTGAAGGTATGACATAGGCTAAGCCATGAACAAGAAATAATGAAAGATGGATCAAAACGGCATGATCTCTATCTTTGAGATTCTAAGTAGGCCTGGGAATTTACATCTTCAGGAACGTGGTGACTTCATCTCCGGAAGCAGAGAAGAACTTGTCCTTGGCTCAGGCTCCTGGCGCTCTCTGCAGTAGAGGTGACCACTGAGCCCCCCTTTGCTGTCCTTGCCCCACTCAGAGGCCTAGGCAAAGGATGACAAAGGGAAGCCCACAAGTCACTGGTCTAGGTAGAACTTGCAAGGCCAAGATAATTAAATTGTGAAACAAATTCAATCCTAAGATCGAATTCTCAGGACCACACTGCACTTGCAGCAGTGTGGCTGTCAGAGCAAGTGGCCAGTCAGCATCTGTGTGGGGGTGGGGAGGGGTTGACAAGTGGATGGTTTCTGTGGGAAGTCAGTTTTCTTTAAGAGTGTGGCCCCTGGTAGGTTCACCACACTCCAGTGGATGGCCCCATACCCGTAAGCATATGGTCAGCACAATAGGACACAATGCGTTATTTTTTAAAAAGAGGACATGAATTTGGTGGGAGCGTAAGGGTAGGACTGGGAGGAGTAGGGAAGTGATATAATAAAAATAAATGGTATGGAATTCTCAAAGAATTGATAGAAATATTTTTCAGCTGGTTCTTGGAAATCTCATGGTGGCCACGTTGATCCTAACCACTTGAGTGATATCACAGTTTCTTACATTAACAACCATTTCCCAGGCATAGATTGCTGTGCACAGAGATATTGGTGGTGATATTAAGAATGATAGGAAGGGGAAATAGACAAGATCTCTTGAGTAAATTGGGAGTATGAGAGGCAGGGAGAAGGTGTAAGGGGAAATGGGAGGAGGAAGGGGAGTGGGGGAAAATATATAGCTCAATAAAAAATGGCAAAACCAAAAACAGGATGAAATAGTCTATGAGATCATTTAATAATTGACAGAGTTTTTACATGTGGACATGTCCCAGGAGGTTATTATGCCAACTAACAAGCTCGTTCTAACAAGCTCATGCTTTCATCTGGACGGGATCTGAAAGGATCCCGTCCTTTCTCTCTATCTTATGCCCAAATTTTCCCTAGCAGTAGTTGCTCCTTCCTCAGAGCTGTGCCAACTGGACCAGCAAGGATGGTGTCCATAGGGAGCAGATGGCCCTGCAGTCAGGCCCAGGGACTTCCTTATCTGGCCATCTTAGTCCTTGTGAGACTCAGATCTACAGAGCTGTTTAATGACCCTACAATGCTTATCAGTTCATAGGATGACTCCTACTAAGTCTTTGAGAACAATTTTTTCTGATAAAACATTAAAGAAAATAATAGACATAACTACAGTAAACAAGAATGGGGATAACCTGATGGGCAGTGCCATCGCCGTGACAAACAGTGCATGGGTACTTCTCAGACCAACTTGTGAACTTGGGCAAAACTCACATGGCTGCCTGTGAAGACAACAATAGGTGGCTAAGGCAAAGGGTCTGACCATGTCCGGTGGCCCTGGCAAGACTCTCAACACCCTTGGGTGACTTCCTTTTCAACTGGCATCCACCCCGGTGGGGTCACAGTCCCCAGCTGGTGTCCATAGTCTCCTGGGACTTACTTGTGTTGATCTTCTGCAGTGAGATATGCTTTTCCAGCTGCCTTCGAAGCTTCACCTCAGCACCATACTTGCCCAGAGTGCCGTTGTCAGCCAGGATGAAGTGAGTGTGGGAATTGTTCAGCACGGAGAGCTTGCTCAGAGGGTTGGACATGGTCTGGTAGACTCTCGTGACCTAACAAAATGCACAATGCCAATCAAAGCTTCGGGGCTTAGATATTAAGAGTCGCCGGCACTCAAGCACTGCGTACACATACCACATGTTGTACAAGTACCACATGTAAACATAGTCTCATTTCTCTACACTGCAAGCTGTTTTCTCAATTAATGTATTAAGGCTGAAAGAAACTTGTTTGCTCTATCAGCGGTTCTCAACCTTCCTAATGCTGCAACCCTTTAATACAGTTCCTCATGTTGTGGTGACCCCCAACAATAAAATTATTTTCATTGCTACTTCATAACTGTAATTTTGTTACTATTATGAGTCATAATGTAAATATATGACACATAGGGTATATTTTCATTGTAAGAAATTGATTGAAAGGAGTGGCAGCCCACAGGTTGAGAACCACTCTGCCTTAGACAATGGCAACCCAATAATTGAACCTTTATTTACTGCAGAGAAATGAAAACTGACAGTAACACAAAATCTTGAGCACACATTAGCATCTCTGTGTGTGCCTCTATGTGTGGTGTATGTACATAAATGCATATTGTGTGGTGTATATACATAAATACATGTTTGTGAGTGTGTATGTGTGATGTGTGTGTGTGAGTGTGTGTGTGTGTGTGTGTGGTCAGTATGAGCATCTTCCTCAAATTGCTCTCCACCTTATTTTTTAAGACAAGGTTCTCATTAAACATGAAGCTCACTGACTTACTAGACTGTCTGACAGTAAGCCCCCAGAACCCCAATTTCATTTCCAGCACTGAGATTACAGTCACAGGCTATCACACCTGGCTCTATACGTGAATGTTGTGAATCCAAACTTAAGTCCTCATGCTTGTTCAGCAAGCACTTTACACACTCACTGAGCTGTCTCCCCAGCCCTCTGAGCACAAATTTTCTCGCAACTTTATTTTGAATAGACCAGCTATAAACAGCCTTAGATGTTCTTCAAGAGATGGTGGCTAAACAAACTGCAGTAATATATCCATATCACAGAACACCATTCAGCAGTGGGAAGGAACGCATGACAATCTGAGTGTCCTGAGAATTGCATAGGCTAGAAAAACCCATCCTTCTAAGGCTGCATATTATGTGATACCACATCCTGAAAATAACAACAACAAAAAAAATAGGGATATGTAACACATTAGTGACTGTCAGGGTAAAAGAGGAAGTAAGGACGGGAGGAAATTAGTATAGATGCTTAAGGAAACAGGGCTTCCTTGGTTTGATGGCTATGTTCTGTATCTTGATGGTATCAATGTCAATGTCTTGATGGTACCATCATTTTGCAAGAAGCTTCCACCCAAGGAATGAGCACCCTTCAGTGCTCGCTGATATTTCTTATAACAATGTATGAATTTGCAATGGTCTCAAAATACAGACTTCAAGTTTTAAAAACTGTCAGTGTCTGCAGAGAAAACTTACATCTTTGCCAACCAGGTCTTCCTTGTTCTCCACCATGCCCCATGGAGCAATTCCTATAGCACAGAGACGGCCTCTGGACTTGGAGGAGTGGTCTTTCAAGGCATCCCCCACATGGCTGACGGCACCTGTGAGCAGCCATATGCCACATTTCAGGCCTTTCTATGCCACATCACATTGCCACTGACAAACTTCAGAGGTGCCTGCTCTGGGACTCCGTGATCCCTGTGGATCAGGAGTGACCATCTTCTTCACAGAGAGAAAACATCCCACAAGTCTGTGGTCGTCATAACCACTGATCCTGTGGTAATTCCTGGAGTAAGGAAAATAAGAGCGGAGCCCAAAACAGCTGGGCAAGGATTTCCTCTGCAGATTTCTATGACCCAAAGCTGGAAGTCACTGGGATCTCATCGGTACTCCTTGGCTCCATTCTGCTAACAGCAAGAGACAGACACCAGGCAAGTTCCTTAAGTCAGATATGCTTCAGTTTACTGTCCCACAAAGTATGGAAACAATGCCTATTGACTCATGGAAAATGACACTTGTCCATGACTATGCTCAGGCAAAGGCACAGTACTGTCACTGTTATTCCCACTGAGGTTTAGACTTCAAATATCCCCTGAAGTCCCGTGTTAGAAGCTAGGTGTCCAGCTGGGCACTGTTGGGAGGTGGTGGGAACTACAAGAGAAAGGCCCCAGCCTGTGTTTGTGGGTCACTGGGTTGTGCCCTGGAAGAGCTGTCAACCCTAGTCACCTCTGTTTTGCTTCACTACATACTTCTACCACGAGACACTGCCACAGGTGCAAAGCAATGAGGCCAATTGACCATAGGCTGAAACCTCTACCAGTGTGAGTCAGAGGAAACCTTTTCCCTTTATAAGCTGATTATCTCAGGTGTCTTTTAGGTGATGGAAAACCACCTAGCAAAATTATGTTTATACTATTTAAATAAATCAGTCACCACAACAGTAAAAACCTGCTTGAATAAAGGTTTCATGCTTGTTACAGTTGGGATCAGGATTCTATATGTCTAGTCTCCTGGCCATTCTTATTAGGAGACCTTCTGCAACCTCAGTTGAGTTCCAGGTGATTAGATTCACAGTGAGGGCGGGGCCCCTCTTACCAGTGCTCACACCCCCGGTGAAGATCCAGGCCCCTGTGGTCATCGCAGCCTTGATCAGGCCTTTCCCAAACACCTGCTTCAGCTTGGGCTGCATCTCAAAGCTCTGGAGGCCTCCATGCACGGATATCAAAAGCTTGGGGAGTTCTAGCTGCCAATCCTTCACCATGAGATGGAGCAAGGCATCTGGCTTGGTGTCGTAAGAGACTCGGATATACTGCAAAAGAGGGCACAGTGCTCAGTGCCTGCTCATAGTTTTGCTTCTCCTGTCAGAGGGGAGTGGAGCTACCATTCACATCCAAAACAAGAACTCCCTCATCAGGGCCTCAAGGCTCTCTGTGACCTGGGCCCTCTGCAGGAAGTAACTAAAGGGAACTTGAGGGAAAGATGACCAGATTTAGCAAGGGAAAACACAAGATGCCAGTGCTATGGTCCACATGTTTGTGTCACCATGACAGCCACATGCTGAAACTCTATCCCAGTGCAGTAGTGGTAAGGGGTAGATCAGGGACAATGTTCCAGAGGCCCGTGGGTGTTTACTCCTTTGTCTTACATGTGGACATGCAGCAAGAATGTGTCATTTATTAAGCAGGGGTGAAACTAGATGAAGTGGAATCTTGATTGCAGGCCTCTTAGCCCCTAAAACTATGCATAGTACATTTCTGTTTATAAATTTCCCCATCTAAAGTGTTGTAGTAACCGCTGACCAGGCTAATGTGCCTGTCTAAATTTGAATTTTTAAAAGGTCTAAAACAAATATTTTAAATGATTTTAGCACAGGATCTTTACTAAATGCAGCACATCCCATAAGAGCTGGTATAGAAGTGTACTAAAAATTATGTTTTCTTTTGTCAGACATTCAAAGATACTTTTTTTTCTTTTTCTTTTCTTTTTTTTCCAACTTATTTTTATTTGAATTAAAAGCCAACTAAAACCC